CAGCCCTCCTCCATGCTAATGCAGCTCGTGCTGGCAAGCAGGGTAACTCACCATGGAGCTGTTGGAGACGTGCAGGTAGGCAGCTGCAGATTCCAGCAGGTAGTAGAAGGCTTGGGAATCACTGCTCACTGCCGTGTAGTGGCGAGCCAGGGGCACAAGCACCGCTTCGGCGATGGCTTCACACTGGCAGGACCACTGGCCACTGTCCTTGGCCTGCAGTGTTGTCTGCTTGCCCTCTGCCAGAATCCCCTCTGCAGGGAGGGTCCTAGTCCTCCGCAGGTGTTCTCCAGCAACTACCAAGGCCTCCCAGCTGCTCCAGTTGTCCTTCTCAGCAGAGCCCTGGCAGCTCCCCTGCTCCTGGGGGCTGGAGATGCCGAAGCGGTGGAAGGCCACAAAGTCCCCTCCGTGGCACCTCTGGCATTTGTGTGCGTGCCTCTCCAGGAAGGCGGCACACTCACGGTGAATGTTTATCTTCTGCCTCGTGGGCCACAGCTCATACGTTGCCTCCCACAGCAGTGGGTTGCAGAAGGCCAGGATTTCAGACTGCCGCTGCATGGTCTCCCTGCTCACAGAGGACCTCTCCACCCCTGCAAGGCAAGGAGTGCTGGCCTCAGACAAAGCTGGGGCCAGACCTCAAGGCTGCCCCAGCTGGGACAAAGGCAACACTTTGGCATGTGCTGCTGCTGCCTGAGCCCGGCCTGTGCTCTGCCCGCAAGCACAGTGGCAGAGGCTCTTGCAACAGCCAGTGAGAACTTCCCTCTGCATGAAGCTAGGTGAGCAAGGCCCTGTGGAGTCACAGTGCTCCTGGGCCCATGCTGCAGCCATCACTTACCGCTTCCTGACTGCCCAGAGGTGGGCAGCCTCTTGGTAGCACCTCGCTTGTCTTCTGGCTTCTCGATGTTCTCCAGTCGCTTCAGGATGTTGTCCTCCACCAGCATGTCCAGCAGTGAATTAATCTCATGCATTTTACTACTGGGAACAATGTGAGCCAGCTGCTGGGTGGTAAACACCGGCCCTATGATGGCTGCAAACTTCAGAAT